CCCCCCCCCCCCCAACCTCGACGATGCCTGTCTGTTGTGCCCCGTTCAACGTTCACTGCTGTGGCTTCATTTGCGCCGCTAGAAAGCGAATCCCGCCGGCAACCTGACGGAGTCGGCACACCCGGCACGCTTCTCCCCCGACGACAAGTTCTCCGGTGCAAGAGTGGCAAACAAGGCTCGATTCGGGGTGCTGCCTACACAGCAGCCGCCTATCGTTCTCTGATTTGACCTCTCTCTCTCTCTCTCGCATGAGATGGATGTGATTGGTTGGGCGAGAGGCCGTTTCGGAGCCAGACGTAGAATCTTGCGCAAAGTGTTGTCCAAAGGGTGGGCGTTGTGTATAGCGTTTAGTGTAGTAACAGGTCGGAGGCGTTTTTGATGATGTTTTGTGTGTGATTGGGTTGTTGCTGGGGCCTCTGTGCCGTTGCCCTTAATGTCTCTTTTCTGTCGATTCCCTTTGCGTTTGGCCCGTCCGGTGCTCCCGGCACGGCTGGGGATGACGCAAAGACACTATTCGGGGCTGTATGGACATCCATCTCTTGAATACACAACTTGAGTACGTTCTACGAAGGCAAGGTACAGGACAGCAGTAGTGCGTACAGTACTGTATCCGTTGAGCGCACGATGGCACTGACCATGGTGTCTTGCGGGTGTGATGCAGGGTCCTCGAAACGCGAGAACTGTGTTTTGTGCCGCAAGGGCAAGAGGTGCAAGGCTGTGTGTGATTCTGGTGACTACTCTGATGGCAGCCAGCCGTACTTGTTGTCTGTCATGCTTGATGCTGGCAGCGGCGAGAAATGTGTGCTCTAGCGAGGTCGTGTGTTCATCTGTTGACCACGGCTTCCACAGCCATCCAGCCTGATCCACGCAAGGAAGCCGAGGATGTGTGTTTTCAAGTTGTCTTAACAACACTCTTGAATATTGCCGGGTGGCAGGCAAAAGGCCGACTAAATCCCTTGGGGCCTTGCAGTACGCGGGGATGAGCACTAATACGTACGGTTAGTCGAGACACAAAGCTGCACAACAGCGAGCGTTTTGCTTACGCGGGTGATGGGGTTCGTTTGTGATTTCGACAACAAGTACTAATCGTTTTTCATAAAACATTCGGAAGAGCATTGATGCACTTTACCTGGGGAAGAAACTCGATCCTTCGATCGACGGTTTCTGAGGACGAATCGAGATGTTGCCCTGTACCCACTTCGGGACTTGATTGAGTGTTTCTTGCCCACCTGGCTTGAAATGCGCACCCGTGACCACAAAAGGCAAGCCAAGCATGGGAGTACCAACGTTGCCATTCAATGCATACATGTCTCGGGAGCGTGGGACGAAACAGCCAAAAGTCTTTTGTGTGCGTGTGTCCGGTTTGCTATGGCGCCAGTCAACATTACTTAAAACCCTCGGGGTGTTTTTCAGCCGGGGTCAGACAGGAGGCATGTCATAGACCACCTTAGGAGCGCATTGTTGGTTTTATAGTGACAAGTATCCAGAAACGGGTAACCCGGGTGGATCATCACCATTTCAGGGTACACTTGGAAATCAACACGACACCAATCTCCGACAGCATCCGCCGTAGATCGCGGCGAAACCAATAAACCGCTGTCTGTGTCCTGTGCCTCGGAAGCATGATCTACGAGGCAGGTCGTGCCCGTTTTTATCTCTGTCTGTGCCTGCCTCTCTGTGCGTTTACTGATCAGCACCACACCGAACGAACTAGCGCGTCAAGCGAGTCCGACCCTCTGCTGAGAAGGGCCGGAGCTGTGGAGCCGGTGCCCATGAACGATGAACGAGCGAGCGTTGTTGGTGGTTTGGTTGTCTGCGGTGCACGGTAATGCGGTACACGGTTTTCTCTGCGGGTTTCATGCTAGAGCGTCGGGCGCCGGGATTGTATGACCGTTTCTTGGGTACAAAATCGACCTCTTCCGGGTACACCAGTAACCAATATCGGTCACACCAGAGGGTCCTAATACCAGCGGTATTTGTACCCGTTGCATTTTTCTTCCGAAATGGGTACGACGGTTTTTCGGCCAATCATCTGACAGCCTGGGGGTGCAAACGTGTTGATTTCCAAGTGCACCCTAAAGTGGTGATGAAGTGCCTGGGTCAACCCGTTTCTGGTTATTGGTCTTTCGGTGGCCGAGACATTGATGTGCATGGCACCCAAGCGGTACGTTCAACTCCCCTCGCGAGAGCACACTACCGTTGTATTCCGACTGCTCAGCGTCTACCGCACAACGTGTGCAGACTCTGTGTACGACCACCTTGGATGGTACGAGAATAAATCAAGCACGACACCCCTGTTGCAATCATAGTGCCAAGAAACACATCCCGGGGCCCCCTTTTAGGACCCCTCCCTCGCTGGGCCTGGAGCTAACAAGGTTTGCCCTAAACCAAGCGAAATGGATTGGTGTAGCAGTGAGGAACCGAGCCCGGGACAACCACGCCTCCTTCTCTTTCACGGCGTGTCCATCGCACTCCTCTCCAGTCATGCCGCCGCATCAACTAACAAACCCTCATGCCCTGGAGAGAAGGCGCTTCTCACACATCCCCGAGGGCCAGCACGAACATCCAACACAACAAAACAAAACAAAAACTGCCCCCGAACCTGGCCATCAACCCTCACTTCTCTCCGCTGGCCATTGTCCCTTTCATGCCTCCTACTCATTCCAGCACAAGCAGAATGTCGACAAAAAAACAAATGCCGACGACTCTGCTTCCGATCGGCCATTCCATTTCAGCTGCTGCTTCTGCAGCCAGCTTTATCCCCCTCGAACCAACTTTTGTCAGAAAGACACAACGAATCCATCTCTATCCACAGATATGAAGAGTCCGGGACATCGCCGAATGGATACTGCTGTAGCTTTACTATTTTCTATTTCTTTTCTTCTCTTTGATGAACCCAGAGGATGGCGAGGATCGAACGAGGATATCCCCTCTACCGCAACGCCGTCGACCTTCGCGTTTCCCCCCCACCGAATCGTCCTACGTCCGTGTACCCCACACGTACGAGGAAGCTGCGAAGCGTGCGCCGATAAAGGCAACATGCATGACTGCAGTGGCAGCGGCTTCGCCATCGAAACCAACCGATTGAACATACTCGACCCGGTAAAACAAAGCCCCAGACAATTTAATGACTGGCTGCGCGTGCAGAGTCCGTCCCCGCAGAACGTCGCATCCATCCACTACCGAGATTTCGGAGATCATGAACCCGCGGAATCACGCATCCATTTGCGGAGATTTGGGAGATCACGCGCCCGCGGAATCACTCGTCATGTACGGAGATTACGGAGATCATGAGCGCGGCGGGCGGATGGTGGTTTCCCTTATCGTCCTGTTGATGCGGACGTCCGGGTGGGTGGCCAGCGTGGAGAAGCTCCAGTAGGTGACGAACGTTACGGCGAATCCGATCACACCAATCACCGGCCAAGCCTGTCCATGGGTTGGGTTGGCGTTGTTTGTGTTGGAGGGATTAGGAACCCATATCAGAAATGGCCGCGCTAACCGGCTGCCCAATGACAAGACGTCAGTCTCAGTGGGGTTGAAAACACAAAACCCTTGTGTTAATGCCATGAAGTGCTATGATCATTGTGCTTAGCAACGTCCCCAACAAACTCACAAGCAAAGAAAGTAGAGGCTAGACTAGGCCTATGGCGCGGACCCCGTGAGGGGACGGCATGGGGGAGGCTAAAGCCTTCTCCGGATTGAAGAGCGAAACGGCAAGAGCAAAAGAAAACTGCACGTGTCTACCAAGGTGTGTGTGTATGTGTCTTGCAACAGTATCGACCACGCTAGCCGTCTGTGTGCCCGCGCGCTTGTGTGCATGTCTTTGTGTTGGTATTTGCATCGGAGAATCGGCAGTGGCAAGGCCAACAACCACCGCACCACCGCCACCATTACATGCACCAACTCACCCCTATGTCCGACAACCAGGCCTCCTTGAAAGACTTGGCAGCGCCGTACTTGGGCGCGCCTTCACCACTCGCCATCCCTCGCGTCAGGTTTACGGTGGCAGTCCTGCATGGCGATAGCGATAATCGTCCGCGGGAATACATACAATATATAAGCATAGGGTTGGCAATTGTCCGCGGCCATATAAAAGGACAGGGTTGGCAATTGTCCGCGACCGTAAATAGGGATAGGGTTGGACATACACAGACTTGACCGCTCATGTTGACATCCTTCCCGCCGCTGCTGCTACTGCCAAAACGCCCGCAAAATCCGGGCCCATACCATTCCAGACCTCCGCTTATGTAAGCAGTCACAGAACCAATCTCCATAACCGGTGTTCTACAGCAGTACCAGCTCACCACCACGTGTCGTGTGACTGCGTGCGCATGTTGAAGACTGTCACCAGTGCCCCCCTTGCCCACGACAGCGCGAACTTCGCTCGTTTTAACTCTGGGGGAAGCGTGTCAACCGCGCACTCTGGTTGACAAGCTTTCCTCCCAGTCCAAAAACAAGCCAAGTTCGCACTGCCGTGGGCAAGGGGGAGAAGGTCCCGATATTTCGCATGCGCACGCAGTCACGATATGGCTAAGGCAATCAGTTCAAATCCAAGCTGTTTGGGCCGTAACGAGTGCGTGGGGAGGGCAACCAGTCCAAATCGGACTGCCTACGCAGGATTCTAAGAGCATCTAGAAAAATAGTAGGGAGGGGGCACGCAGACCCTATCCCTAACCCTTAGAGAAGTAAACAGCAACGGGTATACCCGGGTGGATTATCACCATTTCAGGGTACACTTGGAAATCAACACGACACCAATCTCCGACAGCATCCGCCGTAGATCGCGGCGATCCCAATAAACCGCTGTGTCCTGTGTCCTGTGCCTCGGAAGCATGATGCACCAGGCAGGTCGTGCCCGTTTTCTCTCTCTGTGCCTGCCTCTCTCTCTCTCTGTTTTTACTGATCAGTAACACACCGAAGTACTCGCGCGTCAAGCGAGTCCGACCCTCTGCTGAGAAGGGCCGGTATCCTATGGAGCTGTGGAGGCGGCGCCCATGAACGATGAACGAGCGAGCGTTGTTGGTGGTTTGGTTGTGATTTGGTATGTGCGGTACACGGTATGTGCGGTACACGGTTTTCTCTGCGGGTTTCATGCTAGAGTGTAGGGCGCCGGGATTATACGACCATTTCTTGGGTACAAAATCGACCTCGTTCGGGTACACCAGTAACCAATATCGGTCACACCAGAGGGTCCTAATACCAGCGGAAGTTGTTTCCGATGGTTCTTCAGAAATGGGTACCACGATTTTTCGGCCAATCAGCTGACAGCCTGGGGGTGCAAGCGTGATAATTTCTATCTGTACCCTACAGTGGTGATGAAGTGCCCGGGTATACCTGTTTCTGGTTACTGGTCGAACCCTAACTCTAACCCCAAAGCACGGATTGAGCGTAATCAATTTTGCAGCATAGACTGCTATCCAAATCTTTAGCATGCGCACGCAGTCACGAAGTGCTAAGGCAATCAGTTCAAATCCAAGCTGTTTGGGGGCCAAAATACTACTCCTTCGTATTTAGTACCACACGTGAAAAATGAAATCCCCGGGGCGTGTGGAGTCCCGACCCTTCTCCCACCGGGCGAAATGTGGTGGAGACGCGGAATACCGTGGGTAGTGGAAACGCGGTATACCGTGGGTGGTGGAGATGCGAAATACCGTGGGTGACGCAAGATATCATACCAAATGGAGCGATTTTCGAAGCTTGAAGAATAGTCCGCAGCAGAACGGGTAGCGGTGTCGAATATTCGACACACCACACCCCCCGGACTAATTGTCCAAGCTTGCATAGTCCGCAGCAGAAAAGAGTGCCGGTGGGCCAAATGGCAACGCTTGCACCGCTGTGTCGCCCAGAACCGTTCCGAAGCGGCACCATCGTTTGATCCGTACACCCTCTTCGTATGAAATCGGCAGTAGACTCGGTCGAAGGGAGGGGATCGTATCTTCCGTTATGTCACCTAACGGTGAAACCACTGTGGGAAGGAAATACACCGTTATGGTGCAAAAACTCCAGGGTAACACAGAAAATCGGTCCAGGGGGGTGATATCTTACGTCATGTCACCTATGGTAATACCATTATGGTATGGTAATACCATTATGGTATGGTAATACCATTATGGTATGGCAATACCATTATGGTATGGCAATACCATTATGGCGCAAGAAACCCACGGTAACATAGAAAATCGGTCCAAGGGGGGTGATATCTTACGTCATGTTACCTACGGGAAACCCACAGGAAGAGGGACAGTTATGCGCGCAGCTTCAACATTTGCACCTATGCATATTCGATCGGGATGACCGCTCTACCTGAGTTGCTCCCGGATGAAAATGGAACAGTTAACCTTCGCAGGTTTTTTCGTCAAAGTAAACATGTTGGATAAAGTACGCAACTGGGAAAGTTGGGTTAGGGAGACAGGGCCTGCGTACCCCCTTCCTGTTTTGATTTCCTCGTTAACTTGTGCCCCAAATTGAACCTCACATCGATCTGTTTACTGCAGGCTGCCCCTGCTAAGACCCTTGGTGAGGATAATTCGCGTCCCTGCTCCGCGGTCGGTACGTGCTCGATCGAAATGACGCCCGGCATGAATGTTCCCCGGATACACTGATACACCTCATGCTGACTGGGCGAATACCGTACTCGCGGAGTCGTCATACAGCAGTGAGATATCACTGCATCCGGGGACTGTTATGAAGTCTGGGGATTCCTCGACAAAATATCGTAAGTTACACGAGATAACACACCCCCTGGACCGATTCTCAGATCTCGATTTCTCAACATCAGGAAGAGTCACGGCGCCGAAAATGGTGGCGCTGAAGCTGTCTCGTCGAGAGCTTTCCGAAAATGTATTGTTTCATTTATACATGCTCCTCCTTCGTGGCGTGATCGAGATTTGAAAACTGGTCCAGGGGGTGTGTTTTCTTCTGTCAAAATACGGCAGGTGCCAATGAGGGAGCGGCCCGCCAACGACACACCCAAGCTCTTAGCACGATCGGCCCGTAGTGCCGCCGGGAAAAAGTCGGTGGATTGACCGGAGATGGCTGCAGCGCAACGTAGATCGGGACGTTTTCAATGTTAAGATGACAAACAACAAGCTGTCATCACGGCTACAACAAGTCGAGAGTAAACGTGGCCGTTCTTGATAGACCACATCTGCCGCTCTGCCGCAGCGATCACTTTCTCCATCCACACACAGGTCGAAAGGGCAGGACCGTACCGAGGCTGAGAAAGACATGACACATCACACACACACCCTGCATCGATTTTCGAAGCTCGAGTTGTAGTCAGCAGGCAAAGCGGTGACAGTGCCGAACTGGCGGCGTTGGAACCGTCTCGCAGAGAGGCTTTCCCGAAAACCTATCGTGTATGTATCCTTTGATTTCGACACCCTCTTCGTGGTAGAGTAATCGAGGTTTGAAAATAGGCCCAAGCTACGTCACCTGTATGGCATGCCAGGTTGCTCGCGTGGGACCGCCAAGGTGTGCAACAAAAATCAACCTTGCCGGGGGCACGCAGAGCGCCACGTTGTAGGACAGGCCCGTAGAGGGTAGAGGAATGCCTCCCTACTCTGTACAGCACCCCTCTGAAACAGCAGTGTGGTATCGGTCCTGTGGTATTTTGTTCTTGCATTCGATAATGCTACACCATTAGACCAGTCAGTGCTGATGATTTAGTCTACTGGCGTAGTTTTACATGTATCGAATACAAGATAGATGGCAAGCGGTTGCCCAAGTGAAGCATGGGATCTTCTCCTGCTGAAGTTTTTCCAAGTACACGGAACGAAAAGTCTGACCTGGCTAGGCAGCGGTAAACCCTTGAGCAAAGCGAGGACGAGCAGCCCAAGCAGCACTTTGGTAGAGCTAAGACTGAGGCTCTAGAAAGTAATGCTTGGGCTCCTCATCCTCGCTCTGCGAAAGGGTACACCACTGCCTAAACGGGTCAGACTTTCCGTTCCATGCGCTTTGAAAAAATCCAGGACAATGCGACATGTTCCTGTGAAGGCGGAGTGTTTGCTTAGGCATGACCCATAGCGAGGGCGGGGGTCTTTCGAGCGAGCAGGGCTAGAGTCATCCTCAAGGGACCGATACCCTCTTGCTGCGGGGCGCCCGCCGCGAGGCGTGCGTAGTGGTGGAGTTGGGTCGGCACTGGTGCGTCAGATTCAAAGGTGCAGATGCGCGGGCCTCCAGGCCGTCGGTGTAGGCAGCAATACCCATCTCATATTTTTGCGAGGAGGCAGACACCATCAGAAAGGTGAACGGGCACTATGTACACGGCCCTAGGTTTGCTAGAGGGAGCTGTACTAACCTGGTTTTGCCATCAAAGGAGGAGGGGAAAGGTGGTGACGAGCTGGTTGGGCTGGTTGACCCTTCGGCGCGAGAATTTTCAGACCAAGAACCCGAAGTGCAACGAGGGAAAAAGCGAGGAACCGACTGGGGAGGACAGCAACGAGAGCGTGTACGAGGCGGAGCGGGTCGACTTTGGTCGTTGTAGGACTGGCCACAGCAGCACCGGAGAAGCGGCACCGGAGCAGCGGAACCGGAGCATGCGGACGGCATCGAACCGTGACGCACGGACAAACATCTCTTGTGTTGTCAAATATTTTCCGGTTTTTTTTCCCTTGACATAGGTGTTGGGTGTGTGTGATGACGTCACTGGTTTTACAGCGAGACGCGGCAGAGACGGCGCGGATGACCCGGGTGCCTTAATTGAGTACCTGCATCGTGGAAGACCCCTTCAATGTGGAAAGATTCCTAGTCAGAGTCGATGTTTACACTGCTGTGTCTAACACAGATGATCTGGAGAGATTCGGGTGATTGACAATGATGGCTTTGGTTGTTTGTTCTTCCTCATTGTACAGCATGTCCACGGACTCATTCTGACAGCACCTCAGACAGCAGCTGCATGCCCGAGCTTGTGCACCATGCACCACGGTATTGTAGGATTAGCAACTGACACGAGTTTAATGTGAAGAAAACAACAACAAGAAGAGTGACACAACACACGACATAACGGACGGTGTCTCCCCGGTATTTTTGTCGTCGACCCCTACATAGCATAAAACTACGGGGGACATGTCTATTAATAGTGAAATTTATACCTACACAACGTATTTGTGATTAGCACCTGCTGGCATCAATGATAGTCTAAAATGTCAGTGTTCAGGCTAAAAAGACCCTAAATAAGCCCAGGATCCAGCCGGTTTCTTCATCCCACCACTCACTGTAAGGACTTCAACACGTCCCCTTCCAATATGGCACATCTCGAACGGGTGGTCTTTCTGGGAGGTTATGTATACTTCGTAAACAAAAAATCCCATGCTTCACTTGGGCAACCGCTAGCCATCATGTCAACCGACAACTTACAGTGCGATCCCTTCTCTCAGACTACGGCAGTACGCTTGTGCAACAAGTGCGTTGCACACAAATTACCCGGTTTTCCGTTCTACCGCATTCCATGGGAACATTCCGGACCATCGACATGGCATTACTACAAGTATGTCAGTCATTCTGAGGTAGGGGGCGGGGTTATCTTGTGCGGGTGTGCTATCTTGTTTCTTCAGGGGCACGCACGGGCGGGTGGCAACATCAGCATTTAGTAGATACCTCTCCGGCCCGTGATGGTAACTCCTAGTCTCAGTTGTTACCTCGCATAGCGCGCAGAGGGAGTGGAGGACTCCAGAATATCTGTCGTTGATTTCTACTGACTTGCGGACCCCTCGGGGCCATTTTATTTGAGTGTACCTTTTTAGGGTAAGTTAGCCTGCGACCACGGGAATCGACCGCGTCGAGTGTTGGATCAGTACGGACATACGAAGGTACTGGGTAGAGGGAGATCGGAACGGTTTTTAACGTGCAACAACAGTCAACAACAACAACAACAACAACAACAAGATACATTTCGTACGATATTGCCACAGCGGCCGCTCAAAGGGGCAATCCACAAGAGTCTGGCGGCACTATGTGACGAAGAACGCAACTTTTATGCGTTACCGAACACGTGATATGGTTCGTGTGTTTGAGGTTGGGAACTGGCCGGTCGCTTCAGAGGACCGGCGGCACAGCAGTACTGCTGTCGTGTTGACAAGGCCTGACAAGACGCTGCTGCTGTGTTGAGAAGGCATGATAAACCAACAGCCATGTAGCTCTCGCTGTTGAGTGAACCAGCGATGGACGGTGCACACACCGTTCGCCCCGGTGGTCTAGTGGGTAACCTCGCAGTCGTCTAAGGGCCAGGTCGTGGGTTCGAGTCCCGGCAGAGTGAGTTTTTGTCTCACTAAATAACTCCTGGTCTAGGATGAAAGCGGCGGGTTGCAAAGCTCGTTGTTAGTTAACCACAATCGACTTCGTAAGTCGCGAGGGAAGGGATTGCTGTACCCTTCTCGCGATAAAAATACCTCAGGCAGGAACCGCAGGAGCGGGTCCAGGCCCCCCCTCCTATGTGACCCCGGTTGGGTCGTCTAGCTAGTAGAAGTGTATGATAGGGGCCAGAGAGGCAGACGACAGAATCCGATGACGGGAGAAAAAAAATATATATACTGCTACAGGAGAGCACTGCACGTCCTGTTCTTTTGAGACGTTGGAATGGCTTGGACTCTTGAGAGCGTTCGGGTGTTTGAAGCACTCAGTCTCCACAACAGGAGAGAGGAAGAGAGAGGCATGAGGACAGCAAGAGAGCTCTCGCTGCAGGGGTAGACAGCCGGTATACACCTCCTATTTTCTGCTGCTGTTTGCTGTTTGTTGTATGCATTGTAATTCAGCCGCATCCAACAAGCTTGCTCCATTTTTCCTTCGCACATTGGAAGGGGGAAGACACCGGGCCGAAGTACACCCACGCCAGTGCATGCACCAAGCAGGGCCTCGTAAAGGACAACGCAATAGAACCTTCCGAAAGCACCGGGCATGGCTTCTGCCCACACCCGTTGCACTAGAGCTCTTGGACGGGCCTCCCACGCACTTTGCTGAAACAGCAGACACCCTTTCGCTTCGCGCCTCAGTCGCAGCTGACCTTTGTGCAACGTATGCATAGCAAACTCACCTGAACATCGGAGGCTTGGGCTGCATGACAGCCCTGCGCATCGCGGACGAAACCACCGAAGACATGTTTAACAACCTCTGTTCCTCCTTGCTAGGTTTAGCTGTCCTCTGTACTGACCTGCCTTGCCTCAACCCTCTTGGCATCAAGCTGCTTGATCTGATTGGCCACTCGCTTTGGTGGAACCGGTTACCGGCTAACAAACTTGCGACGAAAGATGCGAAAAGCGGGGGGGCGGGGACGCGATGAAACCGCCGCAATTTTCAACGACCAAAACGACCGACATTTTCGTTGTTTGGTGCTCGATGAGAAAAGCTCAAGTCTCGCACTAACATGATAATCTCTCCTAAGCTTGTGCTGGGTCGAACTCGAGGTACTGCAGTATCTCGTGATCGGGTTTCTGTAGGCTGTGGATACTGGGCATGGATGGCAAAGAGCTACACAACGCTGCCGAGTGAGCGACAGATAGTTTTGCTCAACACCGTCCGCCGTGTGTAGTCTACTCCCCGTGTTCGGGCACGGAATCTACGAAAGAAGGCAAACCCCAAAAACACAGACCGTCGAGAACCAATTGTTTGACATCTATGTGTGCAATCTGCTCATGTCGCCACGCAAATTTTGCTGTACAGGTCGCAATTTAGTATTGCAGGATGATCATTCTCGCGCGCAGTAATGCTTTTACATAGATTTCCCTTGCGTTCTGGTACCTCCACTGCCAGATACCTGCGGGGGAGAGTCAAGGCAGTGCCGAATGACAACAACAACGTGTCCGATCATCGGGCACGGCAGGTGCACTTCGACTTGTATCGACGAACCAGGCAAAACGCGCTGGCTCTATGGTGCGAGACTGTTGGCGGGAACCACAACCATCCGAGAAGGACATGTCGCCCGACGTCAACATCCACCCCCGCAGGTATAGTCTATAGGTACATGCGGTTTTTGGAGCAGCATGGAAACGTTGTTGTACGTCTTGGTATGTAC